TCTTTTTTAATCTTGTTATTATGGAATTACATTATAGTTCTAATGAGATTCTTCATATCAGAGTTTATCTGTTGCACATAATTTTTTCTCCTTTTTGTTATTATAGAATTACATTATCTGTTTTACATAGTTATCTGTCTATTCTTTTTCTGCTTTTTTTATTCCCCAATCACTCCACTCAACCACTAGTTACATCTGTGGCCCACCATAACATATACTCTAGTTTGATATGCTTTAGTCATTGTTTTCAAGGCATGGTTTTTGTTTTGTATATCATAAAATTGGCATAATATTTCTTTTTTTTTTCATATTTCTGTAGGTTTTAGGTAATTGTGCATATGCATATTTATGTGAATAACTCTATGTCAACAGATTCAACTGTTTGTTGGCAGGTATCTATCTGAGTTGCTGGCAGAGCGCCAGAAGCTTAGCCCTTTTTTGTCTGTGCTTCCACACAGCTATCGGTTATTGAACCAGGGTGAGTTTCAAAACCACAATTTGGTGCAAGCACCTGAAATCAATTATGTTGAGCTTAGATTTAAAAATTATGGATGAAAAACCAGATTCCTTTTCCTAAACTTTTTAATGCGCACCAACTGGGGAAATTCATATTTTGTCTCAAATAGGGAATTCATATGCATTTTTCATTGCAACAGCTGTCTGCCTCATTTTCTTCCTTTTATTAGGTCATAATTTGGCTATTTATTATTTTATGGAAGATGAAGATGAGCTAGGGGTTTGAGTTAGATGCTTTATTTTCCTTTCATTTTTTTGGATAGATAAAGGCAACTATTATATTAAAATGACATGGATTCATATGTGATTATTATGCACATTTTATAGAAAAAGACACAAGCTCAAGGCAGATTGTAAATTATATCCTCCCAGCTTCATAATTATTCATGGAATCTGATGTCATTAAAACCATCCAGGATGGATTTCCAATGGTTTAGGGAATGTCTAACCTGATCTACACTCAGCCTTCATAAGACTTCATGCCTTACAAAGTTTGCAAATTTGTCTCTTTCCACACTTCCTCATTGAGGAGGTTGGTGGTGTTGAAAAAGGTGCTTCCTTTGTTAGATTTACTTGAAGAAGATGATTCAAATTTTTTTGTTGCTTATTTGATCTGGGTGTTAACCAATATTTTGACTAAAAAGAGAACATCTCTTTTTGGTAATGGTAGTTAGGATGAAAGTTCTTTGCTTTGGGTGTGTGTTGTGGACCACATTCTTACCCATCGGGGGGTAATTATTGTTTGTAATTCTGTATGATGAAATACAATGTCCTCTGTAGAGTGTAAGCATTGTGCTTCTGTATGGTGAAAAGCAATGTTTTGTGTGGAATGCAAACATTATTGAAGATGATGGAGTTGCCTAGTTGCTTTTAAGAGAGTCCTTATCTTGTTACTCTTTTTTGCCTTTTTTTTTATATATTCAGTTACTCTTTTTCAGAAAAAAAAGAAAGAAAATCAAATCCAACGTAAACCACAAAGTATTTATTCCTCATATAAGACTTTGCCTCTCATTCTTAGCTTTGTTATAAATTACTCATTTTTCCTGTGAGGTGGAGCCTTGTAATTTGGTGTGCCTCTACAATGTCAATAGGTGACTAAATTGAACTATGCCAGGGTTTAGGGAATAGGGATAACAAAAATATCTCTTTTATGAGTCAGGTATTCAAATTTGATTTTGATGATCTACTAAACTAATGTTGTCATATAACTTGTGGAAAACCTATTGAATGACTTCTACTTTAAAAAACTTATAATACCTTATCATGCTTGAACTGCCAAACTATGACAAAATATTTAAAGTCTAAATTAAATACTTAACTGAAAAATCAGTTAGTTATGTTAAAGAAATGTAATAGCAACATGGTTATCGATAATCAATGAGAGCGATGCTTGAGGATACTGTTTGATTATATTTTATCACATCAGAACTATATATTCTTAGCAATAGGGTACAATTGTACAAAGATCATTGGATGACAGGTGGCTTAAGCCTTTGTATCTCAATGGCCTATGCACTACAGTACTTGTGCTCTGTTGTTATCTTGGAGGTGTACTCATCTTCATTATTCTGTTTCAATAAGTGCCTTAGGCATTTGTGGTTTGTGAAACAGTGAAAGTATGGAGTGTGAAATCTGATAAAAAATGGATTCATAAACTCAACAATATGGTCAAATTGATTTATTGGAAAAAACAATATGGTCAAATAGTGTCTGAAGGAAAAAGTCATCTTTCTCCTATGATTGCATGAGACACTATAAGTGAAAGCATAAGTCAATGTAAGTGTTACCATCTTGATGATTCTGTTGTAATGAGTCCCTCTAACATTTGGGCTATGTGAAGCGTTGAAGCATGGATTGTGGCATTTGATGAACACTCCAAAAATTAGGATTCATGAAACCAGAAATATGGGCAAATAGTTTTTGAAGGAATTAATCATTTCTCTCCTTTTTATCATTGTACGGGGTTTCTATTATGAAAGTATAAATAAATGTAGGCATTATTATCTTTCCACCTTGAAGTTTTTTCTGGAAATTGGAAAATATTGAACTCGTAAAATTTGTTACATTATTATCTTCATAACCCAGAAGGTTTTTGAACAAAATGGTTGTACTTGTAATGCTTTATCTTGAACAATTAAGAAAAGAAGAACAGAATAAAGCCTTTTATCTGGAACCCCTGGAATGTTGGATTTTGGTTAATGTCCAAATGGATGCTCTATTTGTTTAAGAGAGCCCTGTGGATGCAAGTAAATTTATCTTATGGTAGGAGAAAACATGAAAGGGAAGAAAGGAAAGACCACGCAGATCCCAGAAGAGAGAAGAAAGAGAAGAAAAATCAATCATTTCAAAATTTCTTTTTTTCATTGTTAAGAAAATTTTATTTGGGATAGTGAAAGATGGGTTTTATTCAAAAAAGCCCCATCATGGTATCACCTAGCTTTTCCTTGACACCTTGAAACAAATGCCTCTGGGGTCCACTCCCTTTGACAATCAAGAAATGTAAAGATAGCTTAACATGTGGAGCAATGAATGATTGGCAAAAGAGAGTTGGTCAAAATAACCACATTGCCCAAATAGATTGAAGAAGTAGAAGAAGATGGAGAATGGGTTTGTAGAAGCTGCTAGATGGAGGAGAGTGATGAAGATTGAAGCAAAAGATTTCTTATTTGAAGAGACAAGGATTAGGGGCCAGCAGAGCTTGAAGATTAGGGAGGCAAAGAGAGCTACAATATTGTTAGAAGGTCTTGAAGTGATTGAATGGTTGCAGAGTTTTGTTTCAGAAGCAAGCTCCCAAGGTAAACAACTGAGCTTTATGAAGTTCAACCTTGATGAAAGAAAGAGCTACAAATTGGAATGCAAAAAGAATGCAAAAGGATGCTACATAACACTGCAGGAATTCTTTGGAGGAAGAAAGCAGTTAGCTTGCTTCCCAGAAGGTAAATAGCGTGTAGGATGGAAGGTAGTGGCAGAGGTACCGAGTGACTTTACTCAGCAGCTGAAAACAAAACAAGTAGAGGCTGCAGTTAACAAAAAGAAAGGGGGTAATCACAAGAGAAAGGAAGAAACCACTGATAGGGATTGGATGATTGCAGAAAAAGGAAAAAGAACTTGTAAACTGGTAGCAACAGCAGGAAAAGGAGGATTGGGGGAAGAAACTTGTGGTTGAAACTTCAAGTCCACCAAGGGATTGGAGAGGTATTGCTCAGGCAATACTCAAAGAATTAAACCTGCAGAAGCCGATGGTGATTATTCCTTATGAACCTTGTAAAGCTTTGATAGATCTGGGTGAAGATGAAGTAGAGATTTCAGCCTTAAACTTTCTTTCTGAGGCTGGTGCTGCTACAGTCTCGAATTGGTGTCCTCTATCTAACACCAAATGCTTTGAGATTGAAGACAATGTAGTAGTCAGAGTGCTTGGGTTACCTTTCAATCTCTGGAAGGAGGAAGTTTTACAGTCAATAGCTTTAATCTGTGATGCAAAATTAGAAGGTGTTTTTGATTGTGATCTCCATTCAGTTGCAGTGAGGTTAGGTGGTGTTAAAGCCAGTGACATCCCAAGGAAGATAGAGGTTGTTTCAGAGGGTTTAGCATACTCCGTTTGGCTTGCTACCTCCATTGAAGCCCAGCTTTGGAAGGAAGGAAGAAGGGAGGAAGATGAAGGGGCAGAACAGGCCTGGTTGCTTGGTATGCAAGGCAGAGTAGACACTACAAAAGAGGCTAAGTCTTCTGAGGCAACTAGGAAAAAAGAGAAAAGAAAAAAATTTAACTACTTGGGGAAAGCCTGCTGGGTAGGGTGGGCTAAGGGATGGCAGGTCCTATGTTCAGTCGGTGACAGGAGGTTTAATTGGAGGAAGCTCTGCGCCAGGAGTTCAAATTTCAAAAAAAACTGAACAATGGCAGGCAAAGGTTCAGGGGTTAAGCTGGTCTTGTGAGCCAGTCCTTTCTGGTCCTTTGAACCGAGGCCAGTCACATATTTCTTTAAGTGAACATGTGACTGGTAAAGAAGTCGGGGGGCTGGGCTCAGGCCCATCAAAGATTAAGGGGCCTTTTCTTGCAAGTGGGCCGGCCTGTTTAAACAGTGTGGACCCAAGTCTTAAAGTGCCACGTGCCAACTTAGGTAGGCACATAACTAAAGGACTAGAGAGGACAATGGACCAAAAAAAGGGTCTATCGTCATCTCCCACGAGCAAAGCTCTTCTGCTGCTCACAGGGGAGAAAGCTAGCAGCAGCGGAGCGGCAAGTTCGAACTGGGCTTGGGTTCTAAGCAAGAAGAAGAAAGTTTTCTCCTCGGAACGGCACAATCCGAGGTTCAAGAAGCACTTGTTGACAGTGGAGACAGGGAGTTCCCTCATTCCGGAGACAGAAAATCAGGTCTTTACGGACACGGTCGAGATCTGCGCGACGGAGGAAGAAGGTTCTTCAAGTATTGGAAGCGTGGATCTGGAAAAAGCCAAATCCCTCGGTGCTAATGAGAGCCTTCACATTTTGGGACAAGACGACTTGGATGTTTCAGTTTCAGCTCAGAAGATGTACTCTCAATGTCTCTTATTATCTATGGATTCGGGGTCTACAGAAGATTTTATAGAGGAGAGGCAGGGGACACCGGTTCTTAAATTAGCTCCCAGTTCACTAGAGCAGCACGGCACTGATAGAGGAATAGAGGAACAGGAATTACCTTGGTCACTGATCACAGAGTTATCAACAAGGGGACAACTTACAAATGCAAATTCTGATGCAAGGCTTAAAACAATATTGGTTGAACACAATGGGAACCCCCAGTCATCTTCTTTGGAAGGTTTAGCCGCGACCCAGCCCCTACGCATTGCCCCTCAAGAGTTTTTGACATCTTCCCATAACCATTCAGGTAATATTGTCAATTCGTTTTATGGTACTGATGTGGGTTTCCTGCCTGAAACAGGTACTTCTGCAGCTCAACTTGATGCAGCAGCCATGGTTGGAAGGGACAAGGGGGGCAAAGAACAAGAGGAGGTGGTAAGGGGAAGAGAATCACAGGAAAAGGAGTTAGAGATGATCTGGGATCAGATCTGTATGTTTTTGGAGGAGTATAGGAGAAAAGAGGAAGAGATAGGGAAGGGTGAGGTTCAAGAAGGTTCAACAAAAACAGGGGATCAAAGTAGGAAAAATACAAAGGATGAATCAATTATGGGAAAGTTGCAGAATGAGGAATTAGAGAGGATTTGGGGACAGATCTGTGCCCTCCTCGAGGAGTATAGGCAAAAAGAGGAATCTTTGGAGGAAAACCAAGACATTTCGAAAAGGCAAAATAAAACAAGAACAGTCTTAAGAAGATCTGGAACTTTTAACAACCGTAGGAAAAAGAAAATATCAGATGTGGAAAGGCTGATATCAGATATAGAAGAAAATCTGGAATTCAGTGGAAGAGGGGAGAGAAGGAAAGCCTCTAAGTAGAGGTCTGACCTTAGAGGGGGATGCCAAATCTTTTACTACCATGAAAATCATTAGTTGGAATGTGAGGGGGTTGGGGAGTGCTAGGAAAAGAAAGCTGATTAAGGACCTCCTTAGAAGGGAAAGGCCGGATATAGTGATGCTTCAGGAGACCAAACTAGATGATATCGATAGAAGATGAGCAAGAAGTATCTGGAAATCTAGAGGAATAAGTTGGGTTCAGCACCTTCTTGGGGGGCTTCGGGGGGAATTGCTACCTTTTGGAGAGAGGATACGGTGGAGGTTTTGGAGGAGCTAGTAGGTAATTTTTCAGTGTCGTTAAAATTCAAAATGGTTGAGGATGGATTTATTTGGGCCCTAACTAATGTGTATGGACCAAACAATTACAGAGAAATGAATGAACTGTGGGAAGAGCTTTATGGTATTCAAGGGCTTTGGGATGGTCCGTGGTGCTTGGGGGGAGATTTCAATGTAATTCGCTTTAAGAATGAATCAAATAATCCCCAACAGGTCATTACAACTAGCATATGGAGATTCAATGATTTTATTAATAATTGTGAGTTAAAGGAACTCCCACTGCTGTAAGCTATCTATACCTGATCCAATTTTCAGGAGGTACCAACCTGCTCCAAATTAGATAGGTTCCTTTTCAATGAAAGTTGGGAAAATAAGTGGGCGGACTTGTTAACAAGGGCTCTACCTAGAGTCGCATCTGAACATTGCCCCATTAGCCTAGGACAGGAGCCTTTTAGGCAAGGACTTCGACCCTTTAGGTTTGGGAACATGTGGTTGACTCACCTAGACTTTGTGAAGAAGGTTGAGGAATGGTGGGGAGAAGATCTAAGGGGGGTGAAGTGGAAAGGGGTAAGATTCCATAAAAAACTAAAAAGATTGAGAGCACATGTGAAGGATTGGAATAGGGAGCATTTTGGGAGAATAGAA